ATTAAAGATCTGTAAGAGGATTACTAAACCACAATGTTTTGTGCATTTCTCATAACTCGATATGCAGCAACAGATTTTACAACAAAGCAATCCACCTTTCTCCAGCAGAGTGCCGTGGCTTTAGCCCTTACAGTTGAAGCGAACAGAACCACATCATCTGCAAAGAGAGACAAACTTCTGACCTCCACAAACAGAACCTACTAAAGGTCAAGATTGATACCCCTGCAGCAGGGTTAGCTTAGCTTAGCATACAGACTGTAAACAGAGGGAAACACCTAGCATTGCTCAGACCAAACTCCAGGTCCAGCTCCCCTTAAACCAATAAATACCCGCTCTCTTACACACCTGTTCAAATCTGCCTACTCACTGTAGTGCTCCCCATTATATGTTTCATTTGGGTCCACTTGATTGTCTCCTCCATGATCTGTGTCCACTTGATTGTCTCCTCCATGATTTCCTGTCTGTGTTTTTATCATGTTCTTCTGCCTATTAGCCTTTTTGAACAAATTGTACGGTGTCCTTGGGTGTCATGAAAGACGCCTGAAATAAAATGTAATATTATTATTACTGGTCGAATGCCAAAAGGTTTGAGTTAATACATATTGTTTTATGGTATGTAGTGTTGTGTTTCCTTCAGGCTATAGACCTTTGGACACACGAACACTAACTTCCTCTCCAAGAGGTTTCATTGTTGCTTGGACAATCATTTTAGACATTACATGTAACAGTTATTTGATATGGCCCCTCAGAACCAGATCCCCCCCCCCCCCCCATTAGCTTGTATATCCTGTTCAAACTGGTTTCTGCTGCCCCACACTAGGTGGTTTCTTGCAGATGTCTGCAGTGTGGTCTGAGGTGTGAGTTTGCAGCAGCAGATGGAAACAGGAAACTCTCAGTGTTTGTACAAGATACGCTAAAGATTGATTTTATATTGTTGTGTGCTATTGAGTGAAGTTCTATCACATGAGTTTACCCAGACAGCATGTGTTTTCACGTCGTTTGTCTTCATTGAAGAGGTCCATTTTGTAAATATTAATAATAGACTTAAAATCAGCTTGTTGAAAACATTGTTGTATTTTTTGTAAAAATGGGTAAAGACGTAAGATTGTAGGTATGGTATGGTCAAGAGGAGCTGTGACCTGAACCCTTCCTTCACTTATGTCTGCTTGTAAAAAATGTACAAGATTTGGTTGTGGGATTAATGGATTTGGATGTCAACCAGGAAATTACCCTTTTGTGAAAAAAATCTATGTTTTCCCCGAGTTTTTTCCCCAAATGTTTTAAGTTCGCGTAAATTAACCAATTCAATTTTAGAAAAATATAAAAAACAAAATCACTAAAATATTTAACTTTAATGTTCAAAATTCTCAGTTTGTTCTCGCAGTATGACACCCTCTCTTGTCTCCGTCATTCATGAGTTAAATGTTTCACTTACAGTAGCCCTAACCTTGTATAAAACCCACTCATTGTTGATGTTTAATCTATGTGGGCTTTATTTGTCATTGAATTCAACAACTCTGTTTTGCCTCTGCTCTAGTGCTTTCTGCAGGTGCAGGTGTTATATCCTCTGCACACATGATGATCGTAAACACATCATTTGACATCAAGCCTTCGACTGGTGAACTCTGGCATTACTGACATTGCAATGTGAAAAAACCACAAGCCTTGTTTCTTGTTGAGTTGTGTGTCTTCATCATCCCAATTTGTTTTCAATGAGAGGCCTCGACTGTCCTGTGATGTTGTTTTAGTGCCAGAAGCTTTCATAAACTTGTTTTATCCAGTTTTAAGTCACATGTTTACATCTTGGTGCTGTTTAAAGAAGGGTTTTAGTGACTGGATCTGAAGTTACCAGAGAAACAAGCTGAGCTAACGTTAGCAGTTAGCTAGCAATTCTTCCATCCCAATTCAACCAAACTGCATCAGAGAAATACACATTTTCAATGTGAAATAGCTAAACAATTACATATTGTATATTTAAATAAAGCGGTAACCCTTATGACTTAACGTAACAATGTTTATTTAAAGTTTTTATTAAGATTTTATAAAAAGAGCATGAAACAAATCACAGTTTATTTCAATAATTCCTGAAAGATTATCTCAAAATTACAATAATATTGGAAGCAATTCATAGAATTAGATTAGATTGATTAATTTCTGCTTCCACGTAAAATATTCCCTCATTAATCCAGTTCTGACTGATTGTATGCTTAAATAATGTCAACGCGTTAGCCCGCTAACTAAAGTACCTGCTCAGCTAATTACCATTAGCCCACTAACTAAAGTACCTGCTCAGCTAATTACCATTAGCCCGCTAACTAAAGTACCTGCTCAGCTAATTACCATTAGCCCGCTAACTAAAGTACCTGCTCAGCTAATTACCATTAGCGCCCGATAACACCAACAGGAGTGCTTGTTGGATCGTTAAAAGTGTCTGAAACACCCATTTTTGGATGCTGGGTTTGAACGCCTCTCGCCTTATCTTTTATCATTCATCATACAAATATTTCGGTAACTTTTCCTTATGAACAAGAGAGTGCTACGTCAATACAAATATCTGAAAATAAATTCCCGTATCTCCATGTTTAAATGATATAAGAGAAAACGAGAAACAGACTTTAGGCGTGGTCGGACAACTTTGTACAAGACTTCGTAAGAACGTCTATCCAACATACAATAACAAAAACTGATGAATAGTAACTATACCAAAAAGCTAAGTGTTACATATAAAAACAGTTTATGCATTGTATCTCCTTATGTTGACAACTTCTTTTGATAGTTACTAACTTGTCGTCGGTTCGAAAATGTTAATAAATTAGCTTCTGCAGTCGTTGCGTCATATACAGCCAAGCTAACGCTTACATAGCTAGTAAAAACTAGCATGAAAGTAACATACAGTATATAAATGTTTACAAGTATATATGAACCTGAAGAAGGTTTGAATATAAGAAATATAAAATAGTTTTCTGCAGTTTGTCCAATCAGAGGCCTCATAGCTTGCTCTCGAGGGCCGTGTTGACTTTTTCTTGACCAATCATGTTGCGGCTTGGATCTGTGGCTCCGCCTTCTGCATCATCTGTTGGGATTTAAGTTCATTATTAAGGCAAAGTTATTTAAGTGATTTGCATAATTGAATTATTTCCACAAGTCTGTAAAAAAAATTGAAGTTACATTCTTGTGAAATGTCCCTGTATGTGAAAACCTCCTTGGAGATAAAGCGAACTCGGATGCATTGTGAGGACTTTTTGCCCGGTCCTCATTATGTGTTTGTGTGAGTGTGTGTGTGTAGTTGTGTGTGTGTGCTGACCTTTGACCTGTCGGTCCAGGAGGCGTGGTCCTGCCAGCCCGATACCAAGCGCTCCGATGGGCGCTGTTACCAGGATTGCTAACACGGCTAACGTTAGCACGTCCAAACCAAACTTAATCAAGGTCTCGTCACCCTCCTCCCTCGCCATGTCCAACGCTTTGGAGCCAATAGCAGCCTGGAACACACAAAAAACGTTTTAAAATCCATTAACTGGATGTGGACATGTCTCATTGAGGAGGTTCTGGCGGTTCTTTTATTGGGATATTGGGAGGTGTTATGGTCATATATGTCCTTGAAGTAATCTCATGGTGTCATTGACAAGGTTTAACGATCCTATAGTAGGTTTTAGGGGTAATTGATTAAGCTTTAATCAAAGAGGTTATAGAGGTCCTTTGAAGAGTTCTAGAGTTACCTTGGGAGATTTGTAATGCTCATATGCTGATTAGTTTATTAGCTGATAATGGTACCTGGCCACTCCCTGATGTCCATAAATAATAAACCAATAATTAACGTCATGGGGATTAAACCAGTTCTTGTATACAGTATATGTCTTTCTAGGACGTTGTAGGGTTCCAGTAGTAATAAAGAAGGTGTTATTGATAATCTTGGTGGTTCACACACACACCTGTACGGTGGCTTTTGGCAGCCAGGCCACAGAGATGAAGATTTTCTCCTTCAGGTTGAATCCTGCGAAGTGAACCAGCGCGAAGGTGACGAGCAGACGGATCACCAGACCAATGCTGATGCAGGCCAGACCCAGACCTGAACACACCGACAGAAGAGCGTTAAACTTCCTAAAGTCGTACATAAACTGTTCGAAATGTTTGAATGTAAAGCTATAGGCCAAGTCATACTTCAAATACTGCAATTTTATTCCACACTCACACAGCGTTTGCACCTCTTGCTAGTTTGCTTAGAATAAGAAGCCAACCAACTGAATGGTTGTTTTGAAGAGCTTCCCCCAGATTGGGAATCAGTGTTCTAGGAGGTAATAAAGACCATCCTTTTGAAGTGACTGTTATTTTTGTATAGAATGATTGTTGCTTTTATTTAGTTCTTAATGTGTGCATATGTATAAATGTATCTTTTGATTGTGTATATACAGGTTATATATATATTTGCATACATATTTTTATATATATTTGTTTTTGTATTCAAGATTGTGGGAAACGATTCGATCTCTCTGTTTGTACACACAAACTGGAATATTGACAATAAAGTTGACTTTGACAAAGAGGTTCAAGAAGTCTTATAGGAGTGTCTAATGGTGATTACAAAAGTTGAAGATCACATGTAAAACTCAAGGACAAATCCAGCGACTCCCAAATGTTTCAGTTGCCTATATGAGCCCAACGTAAAGGGCATGAGTTAGCAACAACACTGTTGTTTGTTTGTACGGTTCTCATGGTTCTTACCCACGGTGCTCGGGCTGAGGCTTGCTATTCTGATCTCTGCTCCAATCAGACCAAAGAGAAGCGGCTGGAAAACATCCCAGGACCGACCCACCATGGCCGCCACCGGAGCCTGAAGATAAACATGAAAAACTCAAACAGTCCGGACTAAAAGACGTAGTGTAAACAGGTCAAGTAAGTAAGTCATTTTGTCTTAATTTACATTATTTAATTTCATATTCTGTTCTTGTACATATAATATTCTATTTACATGTATATAAACGTTTTGCACTACTTTTTATTTTGTATTGTATTATACATGTTGCATTGTTGGAGGGGCTCAGGTCAGTGCATATGACAATAACACCTTTGAATCTTTGAATCAAGTGTTTCATCCAGATTAAAGTGAGATTGTGTGTTACCTTTTCGGTTTTCCAGCCCAGAGCAGCCAGAAAGGCCAGCACCAGCGTGGAGAGACCGCCAGCGCCGGCAAAACCAATAACGTGGCTGAAGAACACCGAAAATATGGAGAGACCCAACAGCAGGATAGTCCTCGTCAGAACCAGGTCCTCCTGCAGACAGACGGAGAACCATTAAATAACTCATCAATGATTCACCTGCAGTGTCTCGATCTAAAACAGCACAGCAGCTCAGGAACAGACCCAGGATCAGCCATCCAACCACCTATTTGATTTAATTTCTGAACTATTTAATTTCTTCTGGCAACATTTGATTTATTTTTTGCACTATCTTTTCTTATTTTTGTGTTATTTTACTAATTTATTTGATTGCAATATAACATAAATTATTGCTCAATTTTTTCATCATTTTAATCAGCACTCACCTGGTCGTTGCTGGGGAAGCAGCAGAGGAACAGACCCAGGATCAGCCCGGCTATGACCCCCCCCACCACCTCCAGCAGACCCTTCAGGATGTTCATCCACATGGCCCCTGCAGGACAAACATGGTATATATAGACCAGGATAAAACCAAATAAAATAAAAACAGTATATTCCCCTCTACAGACCTGTGGAGAAGGTGATTCCCAGACAGGTGGAGAACCCAGTTATGGCCAGAATATCGTCAAAACTTCCAGCAGCCATCAGGAGGGTTGGGATTCCCTGGACAACAACACAGAACATCATGGAACATCATATAAATACAGAAAATACGTTCACAGGGACTTCAGTTTCATGCTGGCAGGTTGTAGGGTTCACTGTGGTTTTTCATTTGGAGGTCCCGAGGGTTCTTGGTGCTCTTGTATTCTTGAATTGAAGGAATTCTAGAGGTTTCTTTGGATATTCCAGAAGTCTGTAGTTTTTTAATGCAATGACTTTTTTTCCTGTAGGTCTTTTCTGAGGTTCTACGGTTTCTAGAGGCCTTTTGTTTTTAGATTCCATAGGTTCCATTGGTTTTTGTACTCTGTCACGCCTGGCTCAAGGGCGGACAAAAGAAGGAGACCACACATGATTCATATTGAATTAAAGTACATTGATTAAAGAAACTAAGTTAACTATGAAGTCAGTTAATCAGTAATGTGTGTAGGGTGTGGGTGTGTGAGCATGCATCAGTATATAAAGCAAAGACAAACAAACCAAGATCCAGTAGAGCCAAGCAACCCAAGAGGGGAGAGAGGGTGTTTCTCAATATCGAGGAAGGCTCCTCCAGAGCCACTATTTCAAGGATGCTACGTCATCGAATCCAGTCCGAAGGACTGTTCTAATGTCCAGGATCCTTGGCGGAAAATGTAAGGCGGGGCCTCTCATATGATACACACCTGCACACTTGCTAGCCTGTTCCATTCTTCGTTCTCCGAATGCCAGGAAGGATTCTTGCCTAGCCTCTGATGAACCTTACTCGGAAGACATGTCCTACCAAGGAAGCATCCTCGACATTGAGAAACACCCACAGACTTCTCAGGCACCCATCTATATCATAATAGAGATATTTAAGGAGGTCCTAGGGGTTCTTGTACTCATTTAAGGACCTAAGGATGCCATCATTGCTCTTTGTGTTCAGCCTGCACATGTAGTAATATTTACAGAGCGGCTCCCCCTGGTGGCAGACTGAAGAACAACAGGTGAGTTATTTACCTTCTCCACGCCCAATCCTTCCCTCTGCAGCAGCAACATGGAGGGGACCACGACCGCCGGGGACACCGCAGCCAGGACGAAACTACACACACACATACACACACTTTAATACACTGTAGTTTACATATTCATCCCAGCGGCTCAGGAAGAAAGCCCACAGGATTACAAAACTGTTAAACACCTGAACATCCACAACATTCGTCTGTTTGCAACTTACAAATTATTTATCTAATATATCATATTCCAATTACTTGAATAAAGACTCTTCTTGCACTATTTCCATTCTATTTTATTTGTATTTACTTGCATTATTTTATCTGTGTTGTTGTGTTGCTCTGTTGGAGGAGCCGGTGACCTCAGACTTTCATTGATATACTGTATCTACACTGTAGCTATGTACACATGACAATAAAAGGCTTGAACCTTGTGTGAGTGTGTGTGTGTGTGTGTGTGTGTGTGTGTGTGTGTGTGTGTGTGTGTGTGTGTGTGTGTGTGTGTGTGTGTGTGTGTGTGTGTGTGTGTGTGTGTGTGTGTGTGTGTGTGTGTGTGTGTGTGTGTGTGTGTCTGTGTTACCCCAGGATGAAGCCCCACACCCAGGGAAGCCCCAACAGGAAGTGAGAAACCACGGCCACGACGGAGGCCTCCACCACGCAGGGGCCGACCGCCAGACGCACACACACCGCCTTCAGGCGACTCAACGCCTGCAGAGACACACACACAATTATAAGTAGTATGAAGTATATTTACTGAGTGTTCAGTGGTTGAAAACGTACCCAGGTACTGTACTTAAGTAAAATAAATAAAATGCTCTAAAAACACTCCATTACAAGTAAAAATGATTTTCTTGATTGTATTTATAGAGAACCGCAGTGACGCGTCCTAAAACCCGGAAGTAAGTTAGCATTTTTACCACTTCCGGTTCATTCGATAAAAAGCAATGCATTTTCTCCATAGGATTTTGGAAAATAGCTCCAAATAATGTGTTTGACACAAATTAAAGAGAAAGATCACGTTTTGTTCTAGGACATTAAATCCATCAGCAGTGACTCCACTGCTGATTTTTGAAGAGTTTACGTGTCTGAAAAACGATGGTTGTTAACATGTGGCTGAATAGGACTACAGAAGTTGTCGAGGCCGTTTTACGTCATTACACCGAACACGTAAACCCTCTCGCTAAGTTAGTTTGCCCTGTTCTGCTTGAAAGCAAGTCCCTGCCTCCTGCAAAGTGTTCAAACAAACGCTTCAACTTGTACAATTTTGAATCTGTAGTTTTGAATATGGAAACCCATCCCTGTTTTTCAGGTCTCAGGCTCGAAAATGACATTTCCAGAACAAATGACCATATCTTCTAAAAGTTACATTAATAATCTTTGTTCTCAAAGTAATGATAAACCTGTGAGTTGGATGTAGAAAAGTCAGAATCAATATAGATTTTTTTTATTTAAAGAAAATTCAGATTGAACATGGTAAAAAACTGTAAATTATAGTGTTAATTAAATTAATTAAATTATGTTTTACTTATAGTGAAAACTAACCTTGGATGATGGTAAGGTAGACTAAAAGCTTTAGGAATCCAAAGTACAACATATAATAAGTACCCTGTATCAAGATTGATGCAAAACAAGTGACATTTGACCTTTTTAGAAAGGTTTAGCCAAATAAACTCCACTTTTGGGGTGATTTGGGTGGAAATGGGCGTTTTTGCCGTTTCTCTAATAATAATAATAATAAATTGTATTTTTATGGCGCTTTTCTCGAACACAAAGACGCTTACTGGAACCAATTGGTCGATTTTGGTGATTGACATCTCTTTTTAACCGTTAGAGCCAATAGAATCGAAGGAGAATTTCCACATACACACCCACGTTACCAAAAAAAAGTGGGGGCTTCTCGCATTCAGTTTTGCATGAGAGTGAACCTCTCTCACGCTCTGACATCTGAAAATGGAAAAATAGGTTTATAGCTGATGGATTATCAGAAATCATTCAAAGGGACACAGACACATTGGATTAACCTATGGATTAACTTCAGCAGCGTTTTTATCGTTTTAATGCCATTGAAGACAACTTTTGATCAGACAACAACGAAGGTAAGAGATATTGCCGTTTTAGCTACCTAGCGCCAAGTGTTGTGATGTCTGTTTTTGTTTGTAAAGTTGCGAGATCTTATCATAGAGTGAAGATGTAGGTACCTATCGATTCTGTGTCTTCTCACGATGCTAATCGATGGGTTTGGTGTGCAGCTACGATAAGTAATAAGGGTGTTATGAGTGAGTTTCTGTGCAAAACGCCGTTAGCATTTTTTCGCTCGTTCAGAGGCTGAGCGTTAACTTTGTGGGGTTTTTTTGCAAAAAAAAAAAAAAGATCTGTTAGCTGAGTTTCTTCCCGGTTTCTTGCAGATAATGCGTTTTTCCGCCCGGGGGCGGCGGGATGGGGTTCAACAGGTTGGCGTGACGTTGAAGCAGTAGTTCGTTTATAGCATAATGTTAGCATTTTGCTTCTGGCGACTATATTTATGATTCGAAAATTATAAAAGTAGGGTAGACATTTTATTCGGCTGAACAAAACGTGATCCGTCTCTTAAATGTGTTTCAACCACAGACCTTATTTCGAGCTATTTTCCAAAATCCTATGGAGAAATTGCATTGCTTTTTTGACGAAGGAACCAGAAGGAGTTTACTTCCGGGTTTTAGGACGCGTCACTGCGGTTCTCTATTCTGTATGTGGGTACCAAGGGGCCCTGTGCCAGTCCGGCTCGGGTCAGGATGATTGAACTCAAAACGTTACTTAAGTTGAAGTTCATTAGTATAGTTAGCTCAATACTTAAAACAACATTTAAAAAGTGTTATTACAGCTATTTTAGCATTTGTTTATTTACCTTTTCAAAATGTTAAATATATTTGTCCAATTACAGTGTTTGCTTTGTTCTGTATATATTTTTGTTGCTATATTTCATACATTTTTGCACTATTTTAGTTATTTTCTTGATGTTATTTATTGAGTGTGTGTACCGAGGGGTCCAGGCCCAGTCCGGCTCGGGTCAGGATGACTGCCAGCGCGATGTTCCTCAGCGCTGCAGACCAGTGAGTGTCGATGTAAACGGCGTCCGTGACGTACGGGACGTTACGCAGCAGCAGGCCGGCCAGCAGCATGCCTGCAACACGGGACAATCAATCATTTAAACATATTTTATTATTTATATTTAAAACACATTATTGGGTCATAAATATTATTTTTTATTTAATGTTTTTTTATAATTAAATTATTATATGTATTGTTTTTTTATATATACATATATAACTTTATTTTAATTTTGTTTATTTAATTTTATTAGGATTTATTACATTTATAGTCATATAAACATTTATAAATATTCTCAAAATATAATATAAAAATAGATCTATACTTTTGTAAACATCTTAAATATATGTCGTATTTTTTTGAATAATTTATGTCATATTTAATATTTTTGAAAACAATTATTCGAATGAAATGTAATAATTTTTGATGTCAGTTTTATTGGGTATTCCATCAGAGAGGTGTGAGGTGTTGGGTCGTACCAAGTAGAGGAGGGAAGGGGGGGAGCGTGGGCAGCTGGATCAAACCAACCAGCTTCCCCCCGAGCACCGAGCAGAGGAACAGAACCACGAGTCCAAAGAGGTTTCCTCCAGGTAAACACTCACTTCCTGTTATAGACCACACCACCCCGAAGAGCAGGGCGAACACACACCCTGCACACACACACACACATACACACACACACACACACACACACACACACACAAACACACGCACACAAACACACACACACACACACACACACACACCAGCGGAATGTTACAAATAGTGCAAGAAATGTTTTTAATATTTCCAGAACAAATTGAATTGTGAAAACAAATAAAGTACAGAGACACAAACACACACACACACACACACACACACACACACTCACCTTTTGTGATGACGAGGTTGAGGAGGCCTCGAGGACGGGGACATTTGTTCTTCAATCGGATACAAGACGAGCAGCAGGAGTCGGCCATCTTTATCTGCTGACAACATTAGCCACTTTGATGAGAACTTTAACAGCTGAAGCTTTAATGGCAACTTTATGAGCTGCAACACTAAAAACATGAATCCTTAATATCAGAATGTCCTTGTTAATGTTTAAAGTTGTATTTCAACAGAAACATGGAACTTCTCCTTCTGAATCTCTGTGTTCCAGTTTGAGGCAGCATTGCTCTTTAACTCATTTCCCCGTCATAACTCAGAGACGTGTCACCTCAGTTTGCAATCAATACATTACAGCAAACATTCAGCAGAAGTTGCAGAGAATTTAACATTTGTAACTTTTCTTCAGTTTGAATATGAGTTCAACCAGGAGCTGATCAAAGATGATTCTGCTTTCATAAAGAACAGTTGAATCCAACTCACTTCCTGTTGCTCTGACAATCACAACAAAACAAAATCAGCTTTATTTACTTTGCTCTTTTTGGTTATGTTTGGTTTCCAGCAGTGTCAGGACTAACGCGTTACTGTAATGCAGTAACTAGTACTCTAAAGCATTACTGTTTAAATGCAGTACCTCAGTTACCGTTACTACATGGTGCGTTACTCCGTTACTGCGTTAGTTTTGTTATATAGTCAACAGCCAGGCGAACAGAGATGAGAACTGTACTTAAGTACTTGAGTAAATGTACTTAGATACTTCCTGTGTCACATGCGGAGACGCGCTGTGGGCGTGTTTGTGTTGTTTACTAACAAGACTATCATGGCGGCGGCGGAGCTCAAGTCTAGTTTCTCCACCTGGAGATATTCTCACTATTTCACTTTTGTCGAGCACAAAGAAAAGAACGTTTCTGTTAAATGTAAGTTGTGTCTTGGCGGGTCAAAGATCCTATCTACTGCTTTAACCAGTCATTCAAATCTCTTAAAACATCTGCAAAAACAACATGCTGGGACGAAGCTAGTAGCTAAGACCACAGAGACTCAGCCGACGCCACTCCACCTCCACCTAAGCAACAGCGGCTGGATTTTAACCAAGGGACTGCTAGCCAGGGAAAAGTGGATAAAGCCATTGCACGGTATGTTGTAGAACACATGCAGGCTATTGCTACAGTGGAGTCACCCGCTTTCAGGGAGCTAGTTAGCATGATAGCATGTCCGGGCGGCACGCGGCATATGGGACGGAACACTTTTTCCAACTACCTGGAGAAAGAATATACAAAAATGGAAAGCCAGCTAATATCGATGCAATCCAGATTGCATATAAGGCATGTCCAGTTGATCAACAGATTGTATTATTCTCCAATGCAATAACAGTACTGAAATGAAGGCTATAAGGGCATTAATGGGAGACATTCTTGTCAAGTAGCGAAAGCGTTACTTTTCACAGTAACGCATTACTTTTGGGTTTAAGTAACTGGTAAAGTAACTGAGTTACTTTTGACATGAAGTAACTAGTAATGGTAACTTTACTGGTTTTCAGTAACTAGCACAACACTGGTTTTCAGTCTCAGCCTCAGATTGTCTCATTAGCGTGGTTCTTATAGCATTGAAACACACACACTCTCCTCCACACACTCACACACACATATTTAACATGATATTAAAACCTGAGGATGTCCAGGCAGTAGAGTGGAGGCTGGCCACACATTTGTTGGCAAAAATGTGCAAATTTCTCGCAGTTTCTTTGCACATTTTCTATAACTATTTGACCTTCGTTATCTGATGGTGTGTGTGTGTGTGTGTGTGTGTGTGTGTGTGTGTGTGTGTGTGTGTGTGTGTGTGTGTGTGTGTGTGTGTGTGTGTGTGTGTGTGTGTGTGTGTGTGTGTGTGTGTGTGTGTGTGTGTGTGTGTGTACTCACCTCGTCCAGTTCGTCCGTCGTCCTCCTCGGCAGGACGGTGATCTCTCTGTCTTCCTGACATACCTGCACTTTACACCCTCCGTGTGTGTGTGTGTGTGTGTGTGTGTGTGTGTGTGTGTGTGTGTGTGTGTGTGTGTGTGTGTGTGTGTGTGTGTGTGTGTGTGTGTGTGTGTGTGTATGTGTGTCACAAAAGGGACATGAAGGGTGTAAAAGAGAGAGAGAGGGACAGTGAATAAAGGAGTTGAACTTTGCCCACCAAACTGGCCATGAGTGTGTGTGATCTTGTTTTACTGCATTAGTGAGGTCCGTCCTAAAAACATAATACATTGTGGGGACCGGTCCCCCAAAAAGGCTTTGGATTACAATGTTTTTTTGCCAATATTCTTTTTTTTGCAAATAAAATCCTCATAAAGTCCCAAATCTTTTTTTATTGAATCTCAGCATTTTTCAAGAGGGAAACACACACAGATTTTCTCATATTTGTTCTTCCTCTTTTTCTTTCCATCCATCACTCTCAGTCTGTCAGTTCATAAAAAAGAGGTATTTGTTTATAACATTAATTATTAAACCGGCAGATACACTCACTCACGTGTGTGTGTGTGTGTGTGTGTGTGTGTGTGTGTGTGTGTGTGTGTGTGTGTGTGTGTGTGTGTGTGTGTGTGTGTGTGTGTGTGTGTGTGTGTGTGTGTGTGTGTTTTAACTTATCATTACTTTATATCAAGACATACAAATGTAATTTAGATTAATTTCATTTCAATGTAATATGATCTTTATGTATAATTATAATCAAATATATAGATATTGATATATCGTAAAAATGTACAAAATAAAAAAATATATATAATAGAAAATATGAATATACGAGACATAGTAAAATAACTAAAGTAAAATCAAAAAGTCTACATGAAGAAAATAATGCTTTTATAAAGTGTGTTGCTGATAATATATAACTTATTATTGTTCACCTGTAGTGTTGTTAAGGCAAGGCAATGTATTTGAATAGCACAATTCATACAGTGATGTAATGCAAAGTGCTTTCCAGGATCAAACAGATAAAGACATAATACATTTGAGTATGGTCAAAGTGAGAAGAAATACAAAAACACACAAAACAATTAAAAGAAAGAAAACCATGTTTAACAGTTCACAAAATGGAAAATTAAAAAGCCATGTTAAAAATAAATGTTTTTAGACCTGATTGAAATGATTCTAAAGTGCCAGCCATTCTCAGGTGTTCTGGGAGTTTGTTCCATGCACGCAGAAAGCTGCTTCCCCACGCTTTGATCAATGGAACAGAGAGCCGGCCTGAAGACCTGAGGGGTCTGCTGGGTTCGTACCGCGGAAGGAGGTCCTTGATATATGTGGGTCCCAGCCCGTTTAGTGCTTTATGTGCAATAACATCTTAGAATCAATGATATCACTCACTGGAAGCCAATGCAGCGATCTCAGCACGGGAGTGATGTGATCTGTTTGTCCGGGTTAACTCTCTGGCAGCAGCATTTTGAATTAGTTGGAGCTTACGGAGCAAGTAGTCAAGCTTGCTAAAAATAGTTTGTCAAGATCCTGCTTGGACATAAGGTCTTTAATACGAGTGATATTTTTCAGATGGTAGTAGGCTGATCTGTTGATTGCTTTGATGTTAAAATTGAGGTCAGAGTCTAAAATGATACCTGAGTTTCAGGTTCGAGTGACAGTGATTCCAGTGCAGAGACTTTAACTCTCTTCTTTGGTTCCAAAAACAACTACTTCGTTTTTTTCGTATTGAGCTGGAAGAAATGACGGCACATCCAGTCATGTATTTGTTTTATACATGTGATCAATAAATCAGTAGGACCGTATTCATCTATAGAAAGTGAAATGTAGATGCAGCATGTACAAGTTACATAATTACCTGAGTTTGTTTCTGAGCGTCCTCGCTCGCGCGGAGGTAACGCTTCGTGGATTCTTCGTCCATCATCTGAAAACAAAATCCACATATTTATTAAAGTAATAATAATAACAATTAGGTAAAAGGTTAAAAAATACAATACAAAAATATATAATAATAATTATATTATTCTAAGTATTAAAGATTTTATATATTTTTTAAAGTGCACTTTTCTGAAGCATTTTTATTTTAATAAATATTTTTGAATAATGTTTTAATTAAATGATCACCATGTTTCCAGGTTCTCTAATATCACTTGTGTTTTTTATTTTAATATTGAATGGATATTCTGTTTTCTGCAGTACAGTGCCGCCATCTGGTGGAGAAAAGGTTAAACTACAGTTCAGACCTCCTTTGTGTGCAGGAGTTTATTTTTCATTATTGTATCTTACACTCGTAGAAAAAACACTTTACCAATTAGTTTGATAACTCGTAATTATTATATGTTTTTTGGGCAACTTTTATTAATTGCTCTTTTACAATTTAAGATTTTAAAATATGTTTTCCTTTTTAATTTAGTCCCACTTGTGCATTTATATGACATAAATGTATTTATAAATATTTGTATTACTGACCACCATATGCCTTTCAAGTCTGCATTATCAAATATTTTTAGGACAAATAAATCTGGATATCTGGATAATTCCTATATTTTGCATTTGGTGTCGCCGTCTGGTGGTGAACAGTGAGAATGCAGTTCTAACCTCTTTTCGCTCCCCGAGTAAATTATGTTTTTTGTCTTGCAAAAATGAATTATAACTCAACTACTTAACTTAAGTTGCTATATTGTGCAGCTTGAGGGAAATTAAATGTAACAACTTTTTGTATGCAAGTCGGTGTAACATTTTAATCGAGAGGAAAAACGTTTATGTTTTAAATGTTTGATATTTATTATTATTGAGATTTGATGATGCAACATCTATTTTAGTAATGTTTTAGCATTTGTAAGACCTTTTAACAATGAATTTAGACATGGTTATTGCCCTGTTCTTTCATTCATGTCGCACGTCTAGATGACTGAACCACATGTATGGTTTCTCCTTAATTAATTCCAAACTACAATATTTCCAGGAAACATTAATACATATATCAGTTTAATTTGAACGTATGTACATAATAGCACCATATAAGGATATATACATAACATTGTTTTAATACTAAATATATCTATTTTAGGCTTTTTGTCTGCAGGAAATGCATATAGGTCTGAACAAATACACCATTTCTACCATAGAAATTCACAGGAAATAAAAAATGTAAAACCTCTTAAATAAATTATAATAAATATATAAAAGTAATTTATGATTAGTTCAATATTTATAATTTACCAAAATCATTTTACTAAAACAAGAAATCAGTGCACATTTTAATAACATTCATAAATGAAATCCAGTCTTACCTTGGCTGTGTGTTTCAGGAACAATGAGGAAAACCGAGTGACAGCTGAGTCAAATGGAAACAGCTGCTTTTAAACACACACACACACACACACACACACACACAGAGTAAAGCCTGGCATTATGGGAACACAGGTTGCTGTTAATGCCAGTCTGTGACACACACACACACGTCTTATTATAATGGTAAGTGTGTAAGTAATAGCAGGTGTGTGTCTGTGTGTGCGTACATGTGACAGCTTTGTTCCTCACACACACTAACAGCTGATTAACGCCTCACACACAATAACAACGTATAATTACAATTATTATTAAGATTTCACTTTACGCAGAGGAAGTGTGTCACTAAGACGTAATGTGTGTGTGTGTGTGTGTGTGTGTGTGTGTGTGTGTGTGTGTGGGCAAAATAATGTCTAAATCCTAACTTTTATTTTGTTATAGTAAAGAAGTTCATCAGCACATCCTGAAATAAAATCCTGGATTTCTTTCCAAGAGTCTGAGAGTAGACATGTTGTTATGGCTAAAAACTTATTTTTGGGACGATAGGAAGTGGAAACAGTCTGCACACAGACTGTGAGTCAAACACACACAATCACACACACACAGGTGGCAGAGTGTGTGTAGTCTTTATTGGTGGAAACACGGTGATACAAAGGAAATATTTCAGGTGTTACACAAAAAAACATTAAAAGGCTACATTTCATTTAAATCCAGATCATTAAAGAATAATAACACACACACACACACACACACACACACACACACACACACGACATACAAAAAGCTGTAGAAAAATACTCTTGAAAAACACAGGAAAAAGAACCCACTGGAATGTTCTGGATGTCCGACAGACGTCAGCGTGGAGGAAACACCGGCAACTTGTTGGGCAACAATCAAATGTTATTTTAAAATGAACAGAAAAAATGAAATAAATTCAAAATAATTCATAATCAAATGTAAAACATATTCAGAAATGTGTAAACAATGTTGGAAACATTCCCCAAAGAGTACTGAAAAATATATGTGAATGAATATCCAGATGTATTTGTTATCCGGCCTGTTAGTATGGTATTATGGTACTATATTTACTGACATTCATCCACAGAAATGTTTGGACATTTTTCAATTTATTTTCATGAATTATTCTCATATCGTGTCAAATTAACCTAATTTTTTTATTTCACAAATATGTAAATAAATGTTAGAACTATATCAGATATATTTAAATGAATTTCTGATTTTTTTATTAATCTACAACATTCCCCCAAAAATGGGACTAAATGGAAGTAAATGTGAAAACATTTTGTTAAAAAGTGCAAAGAGCTAAAAGTTGCCTTACAAGTTGCTGGTGTGTGTAGAAGCAAATGAATGTCTGTCACACACACACACACACACACACACACACACACACACACACACACACACACACACACACACACACACAGTACGACACCTTACAGCTAACATGTTTTTTTTTTGTACTGCTAAGTCTACCTACAGGCACTATAGAGTGAAGCATTGTGGGAAGTTGAGTTTCAACTGGTCTGTTTTAAGATAGCAGCTTTTCAGTCAGCGTTTAAAGTCTGAAGATTTAAACACTCAAAGCAGACGATCGGACAATGGAAATAAAGTGTGTGTTTACGTACATCAAACACACACACTCACACACACACACACTCTCACACAACATTAATGTAATAACTACATCATCCTGTTTTGTTTAAATCAACAGGAAGTCTCTGAGTTAAACTACGATTAAAATGTAGTGACGAGTTAAATGTATAATAATTGTTATAACCATTGTTGAATACAAAAGGTTTCGTCACCCCTAATTATCATGAAATTAAATAAGCAGCACATCCGGCTCTTAATTACCAGGACATTTGGTAATTTGTATGATTCCCCAACAAAAAAAAAACATTTGAAAACAACATTTTAACAACAACAATTTTGCAAAAAAACAAACACATTTTTTAAATGTTGAAGTTTAAATACCGTGAGTTTATTTTACTTTAAAAATATTGTTCTGGATTTATGAGATGTTTTTGTTCTTTGAGAAATTCCAGTTGGTGGAAATGTAACTACATTTTTTGACACCATATTATACGACTTTATTATTGTTTCATATTTTTGCTAAACTCTTTGTATTTTCCGTCCCGGTCTTTAAAAGAAATTGGGGAAATTTCCAATGTGTCTCCCCAGATGCTCTACGCAGGCCTCTCGACAAAACAATTATCCTTACATTTTTTTAAATATTGGTACTAAACCTACATTCTAAATATTTGACGCTTCAAATCTAAAAAAAAGTGGAATTCAATCCACATTCTTTTGGATGATTTTGGATAATCTTATGAAGTAAGATATCTCAATGCTAAAAGCTCATTAAAAAGTCAGCGTTAGGTTTCCAGCAGCGGTTACACTTCGTTAACAGATCCTCACAAACCCTGAAGATATCAAATGTGTTTTTAGCATTAAGTGTGGCGTCTACTTGCTAGCTAACTAGTTAGCATCAGTAATAGGGGTTTACACTGCAGTTATAACCCAATATGTATACATGTTCATTTTAACTTGTTCATTCTCCCTGTTGCTGTTAAACTACTGAATGTCCCCACAGGGATTAATAAAGGTCCATCTAATCTCATTTTAGTTAGCATGTGAGGCTAACAGTATAGCTATAGGCACAGGTGTGTGTGTGTGTGTGTGTGTGTGTGTGTGTGTGTGTGTGTGTGTGTGTGTGTGTGTGTGTGTGTGTGTGTGTGTGTGTGTGTGTGTGTGTGTGTGTGTCAGTCGCTCAGGTACGTGTGTGTGTAGATCTGCTGTTGGATCCAGGAGGTGAAGTGTGTGACGTTGCTGTAGACTCCGGGTCCGAGGACTTTACTGAAGCAGACGCTGCCCCAGGAGGTCAGACCGAAGAGCGTCCAGCGACCGGAGGCGTCCGAACACACCAGGGGGCCACCGCTGTCTCCCTGAACACACACACACACACACACATTAAACACACACATTTGTTTAACTTAAATTAAACTTTTTTTATATTTCATATTTTGTTTTAAAGTCAAATTTATTGACTTTAAAAAAACGATTTAATTTGACTTATTTTTTATTATTTTTTTAATTAAACCTTTTTACATTTCTGAGTTAAACTTCACTTGAAAAAAAAGTTGAATTACATTTTTAAATGTTACTTAATTTAGAATTTTTACAATTCTTCGCCTTAATTGGCCGAAAAAGAAATTATGCTTTTCCTTCTTTTCTTTTTCGTATTTTTCTCCAAGAATCTCGACTTAGGTTCAAAATATGACATAATTTACCCTAAATATAAAAAAGTATTCTCTCTAATAATACAACATTTTCCTATTCCATATTCTGACTTTTTATTCCTCTAAAATGTTTAATATTTATTAATTCCTGCAGACGTTACCATGCAGGAGTCCACGGTCCCCGCTTCGTATCCGGCGCAAAGCATTCTGGGAGTTATAGTCTTCATGTCAAAGTAGGACTGACACTGAGAGAGAGAAATGATCCGGACCTCACCCTCCTGCAGCTTGAAGGGCACTAAATACACACACACATACACACACACACACACAGATAGAGACACACACACACATACACACACACAGATAGAGACACACACAGATAGAGACACACACACACACAGATAGAGACACACACACACAGATAGAGACACACACACACACAGATAGAGACACACACACACAGATAGAGACACACACACACAGATAGAGACACACACACAGAATACATTGGGGGAAAAGAGGATTCACACAAGGTAAAAAATAAATACAAAATAGAATAAAACATTTAAATAATAATACAAAATGTTTTTTAAATAAAGTGATAAAGTTAATGTTGAAAAAATATCACAGTAAAACGTTGAGCATTTGAATGAACATGTTAAATATATTTAATGTGTGTGTGTGTGTGTGTGTGTGTGTGTGTGTGTGTGTGTGTGTGTGTGTGTGTGTGTGTGTGTGTGTGTGCGTGTGTGTGTGTGTGTGTGTGTGTGTCTCACTCCTGTTTCCCATGTGTCCCCAGCCGGTGATGAAACAGTAGGAATCAGGAAGAGGAAGTTGAGAAATGTCGGGGAGACAAACCGGCCGCACGAACTCCGTCTCCTCGATCTGAGGAAATATAAAAAATTATATAATGTATATTTTCCACGTGTAAATCTTTTGCTTTTTTTAATGCTGTTTTATTTCTATTTTGAAAAGTTTATATTTTGGATCGTTTATTTCTTTTAATTTCTCTAATGTGTCTTTATGCTGCAACGCAAACATTTATCACATTGCGATCAATAAAGTACTTCTTATCTCATCCAACATGTAGATACTAAGCTAACCTTCACCTGATGATATTAATAATCATATTTCATATTTGTCTTAATGTACATTATTTAATTTCATATTCTATTACATGTATATAGACTTCTTGCAGTACTTTTTATTTGTGTGTTGTATTATATATGTTGCATTGTTGGAGCAACTCAGGTCAGAAGAATTTCATTGCCATTTCGGTAGCTTGTGTGACAATAAAACCTTTGAGTTTGAATCTTTGAATGCTGGTTTCTGACCTCAGAGTCGAGCTGCACGACGCTGATATCGTAATCGACGACGGCTCGGTTGTATCGGGGGTGAACGACGATGGATTTCACTCCTCGAGTCTGGCTGTTTCCCCCGGGGTGATCCAGGTTATTCAGACCCAGCACCACCTTCCACAGATCAGCCCCCTCCCTCCTGGGAAATAAAACATTCAGAATATGATTATTAAAAGTCTTTCAAATGTCCCAAAAATATGGAAACATTTTCATTAATTTAGTTATTGCATTTGTCATTAAATGTGTTCCTTGGTATGTCTAAAAGCCAGTGTAAATAATAAAAGGAAAAAAGTGTTTAAATGTTTAGGAATCAAGCCTTTAAAATAAAAATGTATTTCAAAATGTACACAAATGACCATAACTCTTTCAAATGTGCACACTTTTCAAATAAATGCATAAATTAAATCCTTAACATTTTAAAATGTATTGTGTATTTTCCATTAATTTCATCCATAAAAACTGGTCTTTAAATTTACAAATAAAGTCCTTAAATTAAAAGTTAATTTGGAAAATGTCAAGAAAATTGTAATAATCAATTAAGTGCTGACAAAGTAAATATATATGTTTTGATATCCATAAATGTCAAAAAATAGCCACATTTCCATAAATCTTGTTCTTAAAATGTTATAAAAAAGTAAAACATACCCATGAATGTTTTCTTAAAGTCCATAAAATGTCAAAAAAAAAAATCCCAGAGTTAATAAGAAATGTTATTTTTAAGAACCAGAAGATATATCATTATTTTATTATATTTATATTATTTTCCTGCGATATAAAACCAGTCCTCGCCCCTCGAAGCCCATAAACGTTTTCTTAAAGTTCATAAAAAGGCAAAAAATAAGAATTTCCAGACTGAATAAGAAACGGAATATATTTGATAAGTTATAATAATTGTATTATATTTAGTCCTCACCCCTCGAAGCAGTGAGCGACGGTTAGCGCCCAGCGGCGTCCAATCAGAACGCAGCCACAGACGTGTCCGCTCGGGCCGCTCTGCAGCGAGCACTGCCAAGGCCACGCCCCCTTTCTGGAGACTCGACCTCCCAGAATCCTCTTCTGCCGGGAGACTACATCTCCCAGAATCCTCTTCTGCCGGAGGGGGGGCAGGCCGGCCGCCGGGCGACGCCCACATTCTGACAGAGAGAGACAGGAAGTTACTAAATTACTGTGTACTAAATTACACGTTTAATGACTTTTTAAAACATGTAAAAGGAAAATATGACATTTATTGCAGTAAAATAGATCAGATCAATTAAATTACAGATTTACATTAAATTAAATACATGAATAAAAACAGTAAATAAAGTTCACCTTCTCTGGAACAAAGCACTGACACTCTCCTCCGGGAATGACACGCATGACTGCCGGAAAAAGTGATGTTTATATAATAAAACAGTTATAATAATAATAATTTAAATAGTAAGACAACATTTAATTAATAATCTTTAAAATAAATAAAGACAATAATATTGGCAAATAAAATACAAATATTATAAATAATAAAAAAATACTTTTAAATATGATAATATAAAAGGAATAATACAAAATATTAATAATACAAAAAATCTCATACAATTATTTGTATTTTTATAAATTAATAAATGAGTTTCTACGAGTACATTTTCTATTTGTTTTTTCTCACATATATAAAATAAATTCAAAATCATAATTTATTTTAGTCTGTTGGATTTTTATAAATTATTATTTAGGTTTGAATTATGTTTTTTTATCAAAAATATTCCGTTAAAATCACATAAATAATTTAATATATTTTCTTAATGTGAATATAAACGTCCCCCCGGTCGGTCCTCTTCTCCATTTATTGATATTTTATCCTTAATTTACTAATCACAAAGAATATTCAAAAGTGTTTTATTATTATTAAATCAAGTTTTATATATTTATATATTCTGTGTCACCTCCTCTTCTCCAGCCGGCCCTGCAGAGCCGTTCCTCTCTCTCTTCTCTCCGGATGAACGTGAAGCCAGCGCCGCCGCCCGGTCACCAGCTGATCCGTTACCATGGAGACAGAGGAGGGGGGTCTGAGGGGAACACGAGCACACTGAAGCCCACCGACACGACAGTGTGTGTGTGAGTGAGAGTGAGAGTGTGAGTGTGAGTGTGAGAGTGTGTGTGAGTGTGAGTGTGAGTGTGAGTGTGAGTGAGTGTGAGTGTGAGAGTGAGTG